TTAGTTCGATTAGGCATACTAATTTCGATGAATCAAAAAAAACACTTTGAACAATAACCATGGCGCAGTAAATGGCCGGCAAATTAATATAGTCGTTTAAGCCCTGGCTACCATTTTTGCTAGGCAACGCTCATAAGCAGATTTTCGTATGATTGGCTGTTTAAATCAATTTAATTTTACATTATTTATACAGTTTAAAGTACTTTTTAAAAAAAAAGGAAAACTACGAAGAATAAACAAAAAAGAAGTATATAGAAAGTTTTATTAAGGTTGTAGGACTCCACATTAAAAATAATCAAAATTCTTTTTTGTTTTAGAGAAGTTAGCATGGTGATAACCTAATCTTATCTATCTTTAAGAAGTCGCTATTCTGCTAACTTCTCTAAAACAAAAAGAATTTTGATTATTTTTAATAGTGGAGTCCTACAACCATAAAACTTCTATATACTTCTTTATTGTTTATTCTTCGTAGTTTTCTTTTTTTTAAAAAAGTATTTTAAGCTGTATAAATAATGTAAAATTAAATTGATTTAAACAGCCAATCATACGAAAGTCTGCCTATGAAGGCAACGCTGTGTAAGCTTAAGTCAAGAATTCAATCACATGAAATGAATCAATTATTCGAACTTTCTTATGATACAGTTCGAAAATTTTAAGAAAGGATCCAAACAATATTTTTTATTTATAAATATTTATTGTAAAAAATACAAGGCCATACATTTTTTTCTATAAAATAAGATATGAAATCAATAAAAAATTTTTGGGAATTGTACTAGAACTGATTCATAACGCACATACGTACGTAACAATACAAAGTACTGCACAATACAAAGTACAATATTATAAATAATGTTTGAACAAACAATTTCTTTTTTGAATAAAATGGGCAAGATGGCTGCTCACGAGGATATATCAAAAATTCGACCTGACAAATTAAATTTTGCACAAACAAAATTATATATGCGTTATATAATTCTCTTGATTAATACAGCTATTGCTACATCTTTTATTCTATCTTTCTAACTGCTGTTTTATCTTAAAATGTATAGAAATCACCTCCAAGTATACATGGTCTTACAGAATTCCATTCCGGACGCCAGTGATACAAACCCAAAGGAAATTTCCATATATCATAAAATAACGATAAGGTGTAACGTTGGTATAACATGAGATCGAAGACCATCTTTTATGTTCTAATAAAAAAAATTCTTCGCAAAATTTTGTATATACTTTGTTTAGCCTAACTCTATTAATACGAAAACCAATAAATTAAAGACGTTGTCCGCAAAGTTTCTAGTATATTAAGAAAAATCATACAGTAAAAAATCAAACAATATTTATATCCCATGATCTACAGACCGATTTTAATGATTGTACTAAAATTAGAATCTTCTCAATGAGCTCTACAACTTTAATTAGAAGTTTTAAAAGGGTTTACTTAAAAGAAAGCACTTTTATTACTACAGTGCAGAAAAGTTATATGAAGTTCTGATTTTTTATTATAAAAATTTACTTATTTGGGTTTGTATCACAGACGAAATAAATAAATCGGTAGTTATTGACTAAAAAAAATAATTAGATAAAAATATATTTGTTGGTGAGCGCAGGGTAAAATGACATCATAGACCAACTTGTTCGTGATTTAACAACGGAGGTTTAGATAAATTATGGAGTTTATCATCAGAGAAAAGAATGAGCCACTATAAAATAAGGTGAGTTATGTTTAGGCTTCATTGATCCTTTAAATTTATAAAAAAGGACGTAACTTAGTTAAGGTTAATTACTACACTTATGTGCGAGGTAGGGGCACACAAGCTCACTTTATTATCATCAACGTCACGCCTCTTGCGAGTTGCCTTTAGCATAAAATCTATATTTTAAAATAGATTATCGCTCGTACGAGTCACCCGCAACACTACTAAATTATATACAAGTTAAACAAGTTTGTATAGTTATTGTAGGTATTGTCCAAAAAATGGTCGGAAAGGAGTCGATTTTCCGAACGCAAGTATGATATTGTACAATTTTTATACCGTGACGTAAAAAAAAAGAAATTTTGGGTTGACAACAACATTAGATATAAACATAGTACAAAATCGATATATGAGGTGTTTTCAATAGAAACAGCCCATTTTTACATAAACAAAATTTTGTATAAATCAATTTTAAATAATTATCTATATATAGTAACATAAAATTTTTCAACTTAAAAGTTCATTTTTGTGAAATTTTTATTATATAATTAGCATGGAACAGAATCGGATTAAACGGGAAAACTGGTGGAATTGGATGACAAGGAAAGGGCTTTCGTGATATATAGCAAACTCTTTTATTGAATGCATCTATATATCTATTCAAAATCAAATAAAAAAATTTTCAAAAATGGGCTGCTTCTATTGACAATTTCTATAATGTTCGGAAAATCGACTCCATTCCGACCATTTTTTTGAACAATAGCAAACATTGCCGACAAAAATTTTTTTGTAGGAACAAGTAAATCGTGACGCCGTGTTATTATTAGTGCTGTGCAAATTCTAACTTTTTCAAATTTCATATGAATTTTCGGAACATTTCAGAATCTATTAAAATTTCGCTACCACCATTATAAGTATATAAAAAATCATGCGCTAGTTATTCAGATAAACATACCAGGTCGATTAAGGTCCTACTTATGAAATCTGATTATTGGATGTGATTTTCCTTGGCAGTTTCTGACAAAAACATATAAAATCAGTTATTTTTTAATTTTATTTTTTAAGAATAATTTCACCTATTTAGTTATACTTAACAATGTGGATATTTAGTATCTTTCGTTCAACGGTAGGCACAGTCTTTAATTAAATAATTTACTGCAAGTTGCAAAAATGGACGTAAAATGCATTTATACTTGCGTGAATAATGTAACCTAAAAGGAAAAGCCATATAAATACGTGAAGTTAAAATTTAAGATAAAGGAAAAGCAGCCTAATCAATACTGAACTTTGTTGTGCTCCACGATTGATTAGGCACTTATTTTATTTTTTAATATAAGCCATGAACACGGGCAGGGCGGCCCAAAAGTGTGGGCCACAGGTATGTCAAGTCATATAGAGGGGTCATGTGAATGAAATGCTAGATTGCGTAAGCAAAATTTTGGGTTTGCATCTGACATTTAACCGCACCATCTCCGCAGCATATGTTGTGATTATGCAAAAACCAATTTGTGCCTTTGTGCAATCCAACATTTCCATTCACATAATCCCTTAATGTGCTGCGGCGATGGCTTGATAGACTGTCGTCCGCGCTTTTGGTGCCTCCCTGGCCGTGTCATATGTCATGAATATATTTAAATTTTGACTATTCCTTTTAAGAGTTTGTATTACTCCAGCGAGTGGTTACTTGCATTTTCGCGCTTTTCAAATTCTCTTTTTTTCAAAATGGTTTTAAGAATGGATCAACCATTTTAAAAACGATGATAATAATTCCTAATAGTGATAAGAAGTTACTGATTTTAAACGACCTCCATTTTTGCAAATTATTGCAACTGATTTTTAGATGCTATGTATGTATGTAATATAAAAAATATTTATTTGAACTCTCAACTTTAATTATTAGCTCTTAGAATCAAAAGGGTTTAAATGGCTAAGATTTGTGATTGGTTTCATAATATTCCTTCTCATTATGTTATATATATCATATCTTATATTTCAAATCATCATTGATAAACCATTGATTCAATTAACACGCGAATACCTAGATAAACTTAGTATCCCAGGTATATGTATAAGCTTAATGATGCTAAAATCTATAAGTTTATAATATATAGGGTTAAACATAATTTTTTTTACAAAGATATAGAAATATGTTGTAGCCAAAGCGATGTCCAAATAACTAAATGTGTTTTTATACTTGATGATTGGACTAATACTACATCTAACAATTGTACCGATTTTATCCAACATTCTCGTATTAAGGACAACATTTATTGCTATCTTTTTGAAACTAATAATACCTATTTTTTCGGTAACCCTGATTCTGGAAATAATCTTACAAGGCCATGGGTGCGAAACATTGATTTTTATTTCAAAATAGATAATATTACAAACATTACCTCCAAATACATATCTGTAGGTGCTATTTCCGTACAACTAATGGATCCAAGTATGTTAATTGCATGGTTTTTTTTTCTATACGTATAAGCCATCGATATTGTTTTTTTTTTAAAAAAAAAAATTATTTTAAATTAAATCTTTCTTAATCGATAATATGCAGATTTTAATCCCTTATGGAAGGAAAAAGCAGCAAGCATCGCAGATTTGTATGAGAATCAAACAATAAAATCACAAATTAATGCATTTGCTGGAATTCAAAATATGACAACCTTGGTAAAGTATTTATAATTTGTTTTCATAAAATACAAAATTCTAATTTAATTTATTCTTAATATTTAGGCATATTTTACGAAACAAACCATTCAAACTATTTTACCTCATGATATTTTTGCAATTTTCGGTACAACTCCTAATTATCATAATATATCTTACTTGAATGTGATATCAAAATATTTTCCATTGCATCCAAACGAAGACGTCTCTGCTGGCAATTTTCATGGTCATTTTAATGTTGGTCCGGGTAGTTTCATTCATGATGTGCAATCCGAAAAGCTGTAAATATATAAAATATTTAACATTTATCATTTTAAATTGTTTAATATCATATTAAAACTCAATTTTTTTTTCTTGTTATTATTAGTTCACATACAGTTCTTTTTGCCCTCGGCTTGTTTGGTGGTGGTTTTGGTTGGTTGAAATTCATTATTAATAGTATTAATAGTCACTTGAACATACAGTATTTGCTTCATTTTTGTTGTTTAATTTTGATAGGATTGATAAGTGGAATTTATATCTTGCTTTTTGGACAATTAAGAAATAACCCTTGGTAAGTTGTAAAAGTCTGTATTGAATTTTTCTTATTCTAATCAAATTTTCACATTATAAAAGGGGTTTAATGCATCTAATAATGAAACCGAAAATAGAAAATAATGGTGATGTGGACTTATATAACATGCCATTTGTCTCAAATTTTGATACAATACTTGATTATCAAAATCCTACTAAAAGAAAAATAATTAAATTAGAAAATAGAATATTGGCGTTAGAGAAAATTTTAGAAGATTATATTATTGATCCGCACACCTTAAGATTATTGATACAGAAGTCTAATAAAAATTACGTTTGGGAGTATTGGTGGAGTTAAGTAAAATTTAGTCAACAAATCTAAATATTTTGTCTCCAAATCCAAATATTCGGTCACTAAATTTATTATTGAACAATTCAAAACTACATCCCAAAATATTTGCATCCCAATTCTTATAGCAATATAGTCTAACCCATCTTCCCACTACTCAACCCATCTCCACTATTTAATTCATCTTATAATTTCTATTTAATCAAGTTAGAAATTTTTTTTTCTTTTTTTTTTAATTAAAATATTAATTGTTATTATATAAATGCAACTTTAAAATCATTAATAAAACATATTCATGATTTATTAAAAAAATAATCAAAATTTATTTAGATAGTAATCTAATTACCGTATCCTATTATAATAAGCGCTGCACCCTCAACCCACTTTTTTAAAATGTCAGATTAGCGAAAATCGCATTGAAGTCTTTATAAAATTATTCCTACTAATCTGATATTTAAAAAAAGTGGGTAGAGAGTGTGGTGCTTATTTACAACAGAATATGATATTAAGAAAATCTATTTATAATTTGTTAAAAAAAGTTTATATAAAATAAATTTAATTATAAGTAAATCTATTCAAAATTTATAACCATGATCCAATTCAGCAATTATCAAAAAGGCATATTTGTAATTTATTAAAAAAAATGCCATAAAATAACTTAACTATAAGTAAATATATTTAAATATATATATTTAAAATTTACTTAGATAAAAAGATCTAGAATATTACTTTATATTAACACTTCAAAAAAAGAAAAAAGTAATTTATTTCTAGTTAAATTTTTCTGAATATTTTTTGACCAAAAAATCAGAATATTTCTAGAGTATTATTAATGATTTTTTTATAATGGGTTATATAATGCTTAGTATAGCATTTTAATATAGTGTTAGTTGTTTATAATTAGGAACCTATATCAAATCTCAACAGTAGCCAAAATAGGATAGATTAGTCACACAACTAAAATCTAGAGTCAAATTAACATCTGGACAATTTTACCTTGTATCTATAAAATATTCAAAAACTTTATCGCATAACATTTTAAAAAAGTTGGATCTTTAAGACCAATATCACTATATGCTTTTAACTTATTATTAATAAAAATAAATACTGTATACTGTATTAATATAAATGATAATTCAGCGAATAATATAAAATACTTATTAAAATTGTTTGATTTATGAAGTAATTTAAGCGCAACTTGTCTGTCTAACCTTCGATTTTATCAGACCACTTAGCACGGTATACAGTTGCAAATTCACCTTTACCTATATATCGTTACTAATTTATTTTTACCAAATAATTGAATTGATCATAGTTCAGAGATTGAAAAAAATATTGATGAAAAATAAGTATCAATTAGGCAATATAAATTTAATTACTTGGTTTTAATAACATGAAACTTTAAATAGACCTGGCCGGCTTTTTTTTTATTAAATTTCATATATATAAAAATTTTTTTAAAATCCATCCGGTTATTACAGCTGTTCTCATAAATTTTGGATCTGGTAAAAAAAAAGTTGACCGAAAGATTATTTGGCCGATTCGATAAGCTTTTGATTCGGCAGTGATTTGATTTGAGCTTGATTAGTAATATAGCGATCTTGCGCGGCAATACATAAATGACGGCTTAGCCAGCCGATTTTCTAGAAAATCGACTTAGACAATTTTATGTTAGATTATATTAAATACCAATCAGGTTCGATACATTACCTCTTTTAGTACTATGTACTAAGAGTAGGAGCCGAAAAATTCCGAAAAGGAAATCAGCGAACATAAAATATGTGCAAGGTCGCGACGAATCATCCAGGGCGACCATAAAAAGTGCAGTAACGTGACCTGTAGCGCAGCCAAACCAAAACTGCACACAACTTT